TATCGCTATCATCATGGAGTCCAGCCCGCTCTCTGGTACTGTACTGTGCCGTCACTGTCTGCTCCTCCTTGTCACAGATATCGCCTCCTAAAGCACCCCACCGACCTATCAGTGCCGCTACTGTTCTTTCGGTGTCATAAATACCAGGCACCCTCTCTGTGTCTCCTTTTCCTTCGTTCGGATGACCACAGGCACTTGGAATCATCCCCTTCCTAAAGCCTTGTCTTGGCCCTCCCTTTTCCTGTCGCTGCCTCCCACCACTGTCTACCTGCTTCTTTGCTGACATGATCGAGACTGCACCTTCAGGAGTGCATTACGCAGGCTAATACGAAAGACCGCGCAGTGAGTGTGTGCGCCTGTGTGTGTGTTCTCTTGCAGCTGGGGATCTGCGATGCTTCACCTTTCGTCTACGCCCCAATTTTTGTCTGGACAGCACTAGGCTCCGCCTTCTCGATCCCCCTCTTTATCGTATCGTCCTCCGTCTCTTCCTCTTCTCCTCCTTCTTTCTCTCTCTGCGCCTTATCTCTCTTATTCTCTGTTGCCAACAGCCTGCTCCTGTTGTTGTTGTTGTTGTTGTCGTCGTCGCAATATATAGCCCTCGTGCTTCTTTTGCTGTCATTGTTGTTCGTATCTCCTGTACTCTCCACACACACCGCCTTCTACCCTTTCTACTTTGACGTCCTCTAATTTCGTACGTGCCGTGCAGCAGCTTGACGAACGTGTTGCTTCTCCTGGCCATTCTAGGACTCATTCCCATCGAACCTCACCTTGTCTCTTATAAAGCTGGGCAACTGTCTTGAACACGCATTAACGAAACATCCATCCAACAACAGGTATGTTTTTCCTTTCCCCCTGTGGCCTCCTAGACTTGTGCTAATGAATGGGGGTACAAATGACCGCAAACACAACATGACCTTCCCAAGTATCATTATCCGCATCAAGGCGACATCGTTCAGACAATGCCCCTGTAAAACTTGATCTCTATTCTCAGTCTCTCCTTGATCATTCTAATCTGATACTCTCCAATGCCACATTCTGCCTTCGCTTTTTCGAAAACAATGACAGGAAATCCCACCATGAGTCAAATCAAGATCGTCTTCCAAGAAGATGGACGCAAACAAGAGCGCCATTTCGACTTTAACCTCGACGCGAACTGTCGTCAAGCAGTTGAACACGTAGGTTGCGGCAGCGACAATTAGCATTTGCACAATGATATCTCGACCCCGATCTGATGACTGTGTTCTGGGAATAACGATATGAATGTAGATATGCTCCAAACTCTCCATCGCCGAGGACTGGACCTTTGCCATGTAAGTATGCTATCTGTTCTCGCACTCCCGCCAGTATTCCGCCGTTGCCGTCAAAACCGTATTGGTTACTAACTCACATTCTCGTGGTGCGGTGTGTAGTTACAGCAAGAAGCATGGAGGGTGGATACACGACGATACGCGTATTTCCGACATTATCTTCAAGGGGGGAGTAAGTGATGGGTTTTTTCTTTGTTTAGTCCCGCACGGACTCGCGGTGTAATGCATGAAAATACCCGACGAGGTCTCGAGTTTTGACACCCTTCTCCTGGGCATGTGAACCTAGAAATCACTCGAGTTACGGCCAAAGACGCCTTCTTACTTTAGTGCCCTTCCAAGTACGAACCTCGACCCTTCCAAAGTAAGTCACTGCTCTCACGCTTCTTCCTGCGTGCTATAGTACACCTTATAATATAGCGTGTGTTCCATGGAACCCTGTTTTCTCAATCGCAACACTCGATCTTTTCTAGTCATCATTGCGCGATTCGGCGCGGCTCCGAGGCACGTCCTCACCTATCGATCACCACCGCCTCTTCAACTTTTTTCGTTCGTCGGACGACCAATTCGTCTCCAAGTTCCAGAATGGTTGCATATACCTCTCCATCATAATCCTCAACAGCGACAATAAGATCATGCTTAGTCCCACTGGTTTACCACCGACTGTCCTGATCTCTACAGTTGGAGGTCTCGCCAACTACTACAACTTTGACTCGGACTCGTCCGATTTTGCATGGATGTTCAAGACAACCCTCGACTGGGCCTCTGATCCTCCACCCAATCGATTTCGCGATCCTAGATCTGCGACGGCTTCGCCCGAACCCAGGATTGGTGCCTTTGCCGGATCCACCCCTGATGCCACAGTCTCTCCACCCAGCTCACGTGGTTCCTTCTCTAGATCAAAGCGAGGGAGCGTTAGCAGTACTACAGGCCCATCGAACGGAAGCAGTACTCTCAGTGCCAGTGTTGCAACCAACTTTGGGGCAAGAACGGCGGCGAGCTCCATTTCTGTCGACGCGTCCGTCACATCCGACTCTACTCGCTATCAGTCCGTGTATGAGTATATTGATCGAAAACGGGATTACCGGGGCGAAAACTCTTTACGCCAAGAGTACATTGCGGCTGTTGAGGAGCTGCAGCATAAACTAGGTAGTCCTCCGATCGACCTACTGTACGATAGAGTGGTCGATCTCCCACTCGTGGGAGCAAAGAGTGTCATGGCTATACAGTACGCTCGCGAAGATACCCGGGATTACGTCGCCCCCGAGTTGTTGCAGATGGGCTCCTTTCGATGGAGGCACATTGACTCTGTATCAAACTCGATTTACACAAGGAAGGAGGAGCTCTGGTCACAGTTAACCACCTACTATGACAACGTTAGAGGTAATACACCGGTTCCCTTTTTTTTTTTTTTTTTTTTTTTTTTCCATACAGCAACCGCGGTATCGTCGTTCAATAAGCACTAACAGCCCTTTCATGTATGGAAAACATTGTATGTAGTCTCAAGGCCACTGCCAGGATTGTACATAGGACTTTACTACACGGAGAGTACTATGGCAGGTCTACAAATTCTGGTTCCTCGGCAGCGACGGACGTTTATTCCTATCGTCAAGCTGAGGGACGAAGCCCGCATGGCGCCAGAGGAATGGGACTGGATCAAATCGACGACGGCCATGGACACTAGTGAGCTCGCCAAAAACTGTGCAGTAACCAAGGATGACCCAATGCACCACCTCAAAGTCGGATTCGCACGCTCGACCAGCAAGCTGTCACAACTCACTCAGCTCAAATGGAATCCCTCTGACATCTATACCTTGGATACACTACAGGTCACAATGCAGAGCACTGGTCGGTCGCCGTCGAGGGCTTCTCAGGATTCACACGTGTCCACATCTTGCTCTGACCAGACCCGACTGGGTCCCGCATCATTACCGCAAAGCATGGTCGCCATGGATCAGGATCCAATTTGGCAGGACCGTATTGTGGATGACTCCTCAAGAAGTTTTCGCGTGATACTCTTCATCAAGCCAACGCGTCACCCTACGCAGCCTCAGGAACACTACAACAAGGCACTCTTTGAGCTCTGCCCATTCCCGATTTTTGACGCCCTTCACCACTCGATCTTCAATAATGCAACGTACCATCAACTCCGTAAGACGATGCTTCAGCTGACCAACGAGATTGTCGACCTTGAGATTGAGATTGAGCAGGAAACCGAAGACGAACTCGCGCTGCTTAAAGAAAAGGGGTTGGATTACGATGCGCACGAACCAGAGGACGATTTGGAAGATATTAGTAGCTCCATGTTGATCAATGATCTAGGGATCAAAGGCGAGCCATCACCGAACGTTCTCTATCGACATCCTCTACTACAACCCAGCTTCACAGACGACGACACTATCCATGCCGCTAGTATCAGCAAACGGTCATCCACAAACTCACTGTTGGATGTCATTAAACGATCCGTCCTCTCAGCACCATCGGTCGTGTCGCTCGCATCTTCTCTGTCCTCGCTCGGAAGCGATCCCATAGCGGCCACCGTTGAGTCGCAGTTACCACCAACAGGATTGATGGAGCGAGCAAGGTCGAGAGCGTCTATGATTGAGTTTGACGTTGATAGGAGCGCCTTCACTAGCAGCAGCAAGAGGAGAGGATCCAGAGCGTCTCAAGATTCTTTGCAATTCGAGGACCACAATAATGACGAATCTCTTTCGTTTGTGGACATGATCCAAGACCTCGATCCCATTGCCGGCAAAGCACTGTTGGCTGCTAGCCTCAATAACATCAGCAGCGTCAGTCTCCAGAGCACGAATTCGATCAGCAGCGTCAGCAGTGATGACAGCTACCGACGCGAAGGCGGATTCGTCAAGGGGAAACAACGACGACTGAGTCTTGGACATCCCCGAGCCCAGGATGGACCGTTGCCGCCCCTCCCACCTGTTCCTCGGCATCGCCGGAGTTACAGTCTTGTCCAGGCTGGCGACTTTCGCATGAGCCCCGCTCCTGTCCCAGGGATGAGCACTACGCGCTCGCGAACGAACAGCCACTCGTCCTACTCTCATCATCCACACATAAGCCATTACTATCACCACTACCAACACCAACAACCTGTGTATAAGAACCGATACCTCTCCAGCAAGAACTACCCGCATTATTTATCCCACATTCAACAGCATCAGCATCATCTTCGTCGTCATTTAAACACCAACACTAACGACAAAGAGTCACTCCTCGATAGCCAGGAGTTGGACTCGGACAACCCATACCCTCCAGAGCTGAGACGTCTAGAACTGCAGCAGCAAGAGTTACAAGAAAAGTGGCGACTTGTCTCCTGGACGCGCCAGTTGAACGAGTGGGATCATGCTCGCACACTCAAGTCGCAGGGCGATATTTTGGGTGTCGGTATGAGTCTAGGCATGGGTTTGAACCTTGGTATCAACGTGAATGGAGGCACCGGCTCCACTGCTGATCTGAGTCAATGTGGCATCCCCTCGCCCCCCAGATCGACGTCTGTATCTTCGCTGCACTCTGACTCTGCTTGATGTATTCATGGCCATGCGAGAAATAAAAGAAAGGAAGAAAGGAAAAAAAAGGCTTGCTAGCGAATGCGTTGCAACATACGTAGACGGGAGGGAAAGAAAGGAAAAAAAAAAAAAAAGAAAAGGATGTTCAGCATAGTAGCAAAAGTAAACTGAGGGGCCCAACCGGGAATTGAACCCGGGACCTCTCGCACCCAAAGCGAGAATCATACGACTAGACCATTAGGCCCGCAATTCTATGACCAGGGATTCTATTTTCGTACATATTTCCATAATAATTAGTCACGTGATTATGGAATTGAGTGTCAGTTTTACGCGTTTTTTTTGTTGTTTTTTGGTGTTTTTTAGGGTTTTTTTTTGCTCCGGAACCACCTTGGACCCACACAGTGCAAACAGTACGCTGATACAGAGCTTGCTAGGAATGAGGCGGCTGACTGCTCCCTCGCGTTTTCCAATTCACACAATGCCTGAGTGTTTTTGTGTGAAGTGCTGCTTTTTATTACTCTTACTCTGTTTCTTGATCAGCATACATTATCCATCGCCTGTCTCTCTCTTCCCGTACTCTAGCTTTCGGAACTTTGACGAGATTAAAATTGTCAAGATATCTATTATACAAGTGAGTATTTTCTTGCCATCCTCCTGTTACCCTTGCGTTGCCAAAGTTATGAAGAAAAGAGCGAGCGAGAGAGAGAGAGAGAGAGAGAGAGAGAGAGAGAGAGAGAGAGAGAGGTGCGTGTGAGGTGCATCAGAGAGAGAAGGCGCCGAAAAAACGAGACGATTTCAGTTAATGGCCGGATCCATGTCCGTGTCAAGCTCTTGACGCATATTGGACCTGGAATCACTGTCGATCCCACAGTCGTCAATATCATCGCCGCTGTCGTCATCGCCGTCCTGTTCTTCCACGTAATCTTGAACATTATACACTTTGATGCCAAATCTCTCTGTTAGATCTAATCCGTCTTTGATCAATTGCGGGTCATCCTTTGGCACTGTTAGGGGCCGAGTCTTGCTACGCGTGATATGTGCGCTGCTGCTGCTGTTGCTGCTGTTGTCTTCACTAGTGTTGTCGACATTGCTGTTTTGGTCAAGGTCCAGAATCCGGATGCGACTGATCCTGGACATTGACAAGTACGAAGCTGATGACGTTACAGAAGACGGCGACATTGAACTAGCCGATGTCCATGATGAGCTATGGCTCCTGTTCTTGTTGTTGGCTGCTAGCGTCTGGTAATGGTCACTACTTCCGATGAATCTTTTTCTGATAAACGGACGACACCGGCGTATCACTGCTACTATCCCGTCCGCCGCACCAAATAGCATTGCCTCGCAAGGAATTTCTTGTCGAGATCTTGGTGATTGGAACCAGAACCGCATATGCATTAGAGCGGTCGAGGCCTTAACCACGTTCATCTGCTCTACACACGATGCGAGATCGTCTGCGCGGATAAAGAGCAAGATGGGCTTTCCTACGATATCGTCTGGGTCGATGTGGAAGACACGTTCACAAGTGGACGATGCATACATAATGATGAGGTTTCGCGAGAAGCGGTTCAGGATCATGCACACGCGCAGCTCGGGCTCCATTCCACGCGCGTCCCATCTATTGGACGTGAACGCTTTCTGATGGCGTTTGATCCGCTCAAACTCCTAGAAACCCAATTGATTGTATATCATGCAAACCTGTGTGAGTGAGTGCGGAGGTATCTGGCTGCACATCATGTGAAGCAGACATAGAAACACCTCCAAGGAATGCCACCACGATTGTAACACTCTAGACAAGTATAATACAGGTATTTACCTCCTTCTTGGACCCAACTAATTGGGTCATCGCCGTAGAATGTGACCTTAGCTGGCTGTCTAGAGTGTGTATTAGAAAGTGAATGAGACGACGATCAAGACAGACATCATAGAGGTACTTTTGATTTCAAGTGGATTCTACTTAATATGAAGAGCATTCGAATCAGTCAAGGATGTCTACCCTAGTTATTAAGCTCTATGCTTGATAGCAAGAATTTTCAACCCGTTTGCGAAAGAAATAAAACGAATGATAAGGACGGCAGTCGGTGTACCGGTAAATATTTTACCAGCAAATGGAGAGTCGTGTTTCTCGGTCAGTGGCAAGACGTATCCCACCTCTCATAACGGTTCTTTCTTAGTAATATTCGGGAGACGTTCGCCGCACTGAGCACAGCTTAGCACTTCTCGATAACTCAAAAACGAGAAAGATGAATTTAAAAGTGAGTCCGATTGAAGTGCGCCGTCCCAATACTCAGTGATATGGAAGCAGTTTGCTGTTCTCTTACTTCGATATATATATATAAAAAGAAACAGTGAAAGGAACGGGAGCGAGAGACTGAGAAACAAAGACACGGAACAAGACAAAAACTACTCACAGGAACCGGGATCTGGATGGATCATGGTCACGCAGGCCACCATAAAATCGTAGCAGAGACTATAAACGGAGACACATGGGACATAATGGCCATCCTTGGCCCTGAAACGAACGGTGGATTGGCTGGCGACGAGATCGTTTAACAAATTCTCCTTGTGGCTGACGCGGGTTTGCACAATATCCTCTACGTTGGCGAGGTCGTACGCCGCCACGCCCACTAGCTCGTCAGGCGTGTAGCCGAGGACGTCGTAAACAGCCGGTGACAACCAGAGGAAGCGCCCTTCTGGACTGAGGTCGACGAATGTGATGAAATTGTCGTGTTGAAACATGACGTAAGGAAGGATTGGGAGTGAGAGGATGCGTGTATGTGAAATGTGAGTAGACAACGAATGGATGCCGCGGATTGATTGTAGGTAAAAGGTCAACGTGGCAACGGAAGGTGTGCGCGTATGTGTGTGAAAGCGCACGCATGGAGGGCGAGGAGAGGGACTGTCACTCGAGCAAACGGTCTCGTTTAAGGGAAGCAGTGGTATGAGAACAGCTTGAAGAAGCCCGCTGAATGTGACAAAGAGCGAGAAGCTAAGAGCCTTAATGTGGAGCGGGAAGACAGCTGCAACTGCTTGTCTGAAGGGAAGCACGGTGTAGAGTGCAGTGAGCACCCGAGATAGTAGGCGTCCACGCTGGTCTTAACGCCAAGGAGACCGTATTTTTACTTCCTTCCCGCAAACAGCACTGTGCTGTGCACTCCGCAGGCTGCCGTCATGCGGCGTGAGGCGATGAAGAAAGCTGGCGTTGGTGGTTTTGTCAGAACACGAGCACAAAGCATGGTGATTAGAGTGTTGGAGAGTAAAGTACAGGGAGGTGGTTGTTGTTTGTCAATCATGCAAGCATAGCTGAGAGACGGACAAAAAGCATCATAGATACGGGATGTGTGGGATCTATTCGGCGTGAATTTCAACTCAACAAGAACCAGAGGCATACTAAACGGCTGGCAAAAAAAAAAAAAAAAAGCCTGCAACAAAAAGAGCAATGAACCGGTATCTTTCTTTGGCACAGCATCCGTGTCTGCTCTTGATTGCGGAATGCCCTCACTCCACAACCTCAACGGATCCAATGGCCATCAACTGACGACCATAGAGCGCATAAATGCCATAGAGCATGAGTTGGTTACTTTCCGCTCTTTGTAAAGGTGCGCCTCATCATACCGACGGGTCTCGGCTGTGAGAGTGAACGAGGGAGGCACGGGCACTCGATCCCTTGTGTATTTCCAAATCACACGATGAATGAATGGTTTTGAGTAAAGTAAATCGTATACAAGTTTTTATTACTCTGTTTTCCTGTTCAAGATGCGTTGTCCCTCGTTTGTCTCTCTCTTCCCGTACTCCAGCTTTCGAAATGTTGAGTGGTCAAAGACTCCTGTTATGCGAGAGCGCATTTCCTTTCTACCCTCCCGTAGTCATTGCGACGGCAAGGGTGGAAGGAAATGGTGTGTCTGTGCGTGCGTGCATGAGTGTATGTGTGTGTGTGAGAAGGGACCGAAATACCGAGACGATATTAGCGAATGTCCAGATCCATGTCCATGTCAGGCTCTTGAAGCGTATTGGGCCTGGAGCCACTGTCGGCCCCATGGTCGTCGATGTCGTCGCCACTGTCCTCATCACCATCCTGTTCCTCCACATAATCCTGAACATTATATACTTTGAGTCCAAATCCTTCTAGCAAATCCACTCCGTCTTTGACTAGCAGTGGGTCATCTGTTGGCACTGCTAGGGGCCGAGTCTTACTCTGCGTGCTATGTGCACTACTATTTTTGTTGTTGCTGCTGCTGCTGCTGTTGTTGTCGATGTCGTCGTTACTATTGTTGCCATAGCTGTTTCGGTCAAGGTCCAAAATCCGGATGCGACTGATCCTAGACATTGACAAGCACGAAGCTGCTGAAGATACAGAAGATGGCGATGCTGAGCTAGCCGACGTCCATGATGAACTTTGGCTCCTGTTCTTGTTGATATTTGCAGCAGCTGCTAGTGTCTGGTAATTCCAGTCATGGTCTCTGCTTCCGATGAACCGTTTCCTGATAAACGGACGACACCGCCGCATCACCGCCACTATCCCATCCGTCGCACCAAATAGCATCGCCTCGCAAGGAATTTCTTGTCGCAATCTTGGTGATTGGAACCAGAACCGTATATACGTGATAGCGGCCGCGGCCTTAACCATGTCCATCTGCTCCACAAACGACGCTAGATCGTCTGCGCGGATAAAGAGCAAGATAGGTTTCCCTAAGATATGATCTGGGTCGATGTGGAAGATGCGCTCACAGGCGGATGATGCGTACATGATGATGAGGTTCCGCGAGAAGCGATTCAGAATCATGCACACGCGTGGCTCAGGCTCCATCCCATGCATGTCCCATCTATTGGCCGTGAACGCTTCGTGATGGCGTTTGATCCGCTCGAACTCCTGAAAGCTCAAATCAATCATGTATCATGCAGGATTGAGTGAGATTGTGCACTGGAATCTGACTCCATATTGTGTGAAGCTGATATCCAACCACGTCAAAAGGACACCACCTCGTTTGCAACGTCTTGGACAAGCATTTACCTGCTTCTTGGACCCAACTAATTGGGTCATAGCTGCAGAATGTGACCTCAACTGCCTGTCTACAATGTGTATCGAAAGGTGAATGAGAAGACGGTTAGGCTAGACGAGCGCTATAGGGGTGCTTTTGATTGCACTTCAGTAATACTTCGTTTGAGAAGTATTCGAATTATTCAAGGATGTCTACGCTGGTCATTGCAGCCATGGCTCAATATCATCCTCTCTAAAGTTCTATACTC